GGCTCAGGCAATCCACTCACCTCAGCCTCCCAAAGGCATGGGATTACAGGCTGAGCCACCGAGCCCGGCTAGAAATTTTATTTTTATTATTTCTTCAAATACTTTCTCTTCACTGTGTTTATGTTTCTTTCCTCCTGGAACTCCTGTTTCCGGGAGCTTAGCACTCCTACTTCTGTCCTCGTGTCCTGTAACTTTCCATTTTCTACCTCTTTGTCCCTTTCTGCTGCCATCTGAGACCCTCAATCTAATCAGATCTCATGCATTAATTTTCATCTCTTCCTTTCTACTGTATCTTATAACTGTATTTCTTTATTTCAACTTTTTTACCCCTAATGTTGCTGTACCTAGTACTTCCACTGATTCTTTTTATACTTTCTTGTTCTTAAATACATTTTGCTAATATCTTGTCTTCTCTCAGTAAGTATATGTATCATGCTTATTTTAAATTCCTTGTTCTTAGCAGGGCACGGTGGCTCATGCCTGTAATCCCAGCTCTTTGGGAGGTAGAGGTGAGGTGATTGCTTGAATCCAGGGTTGAGACCAGCCTGGGCAACTTTGCAAGACCTCATCTCTACCATCAATCAATCAATCAAATTAGCTGAACATGGTGGCATGTGCCTATAGTTCCAGCTAGTTGGAAGGCTGAGCCCGGCAGGTCGAGGCTGCAGTGGCTGTGAGCATGACACTGTTCTTCAGCCTGGGTGACAGAGTGAGACTCCAACTCAAAAAAAAAAAAAAAAAAATCCTGGTTCTTTTATTTTAGTAATTCGGATTCAAATGGTAAATGCCATATGATCTGTTTATTTCTTTTGGAGGTCAGTTCTTTTGGTCCCATGAGCCTTTGCTCTCTTGAGGAAATCATTCGTGTGTCTGGGAATGTGTCATAAGTGAGGGCCCACGGCCGGGCTCCAGTCCACGTCAGCCCTGCTGGGTTAGGGCAAGGAAGAGGACGAGCCTGGGGCTGAGCAGCCCGGCTTGGGGGTTCGTCCTTCGGAGTTGACCCCATCCCAGGCACTCCTCTGCTCAGAGCTCCACCTTTCAACTCAGAGAAGTAGAACGGGAAAGGGTCGTCCAGCAGGCATGAAGGTTAAGGAAGGAGAAGGTACCGATGGCTGCTAGTCAGTTTTCCCCTGCTGACATTAGTGCTTCCCTCCTGAGGGTTCGTGAACTGCTCTGACATAACCCTCTGGACACTCTGACCCAGTGACCTAGGCTTTTGCTAGACTTTTCTGCTTTCAGTAGTGAAGGAGAGGACAGCGATCACCTTAATTCATGGTACATGGGGCGAGGGCAGGATTTTCCTTTTTAAGTTTCCCCAACTGGTCCTTCTACTGTCATCACTAGCAGCCCTCCACCCTGAAACACACCGGTTCAACTCTCCATTTCACAGGATTTTGTTGCGGTTTTTCACTCGGTTCCTAAAATCCAAATTTCTGCTCAAACTTCATTCCTCCAGGGTTGATTTGTGGAGAGGGAGCCACAAATCCATGCTGTTTCACCATTTACATAGGAATAGAAATCGGTGTTTGAATTTCTATAAAATATGAAACCTGTGATGGCAGCAGACATCTCACTAAGGGATTACCTTGAGGAGAGTTTATTTTAATGGCTTTCAGTGAGAATATCTAAAGCAATGCCATTTGATGTCATGTGGAAAATATGTAGAAGCGCTCAATACTAACATTCAAATCAAGCTTGTCATAGTCGCCAGATGTTTTAGCTCAGGAGTTGGCAGACTCTTCACTCATGAGTTTCATTGGATCTGGTGTTCTCAGGAGAAGAGAGAAGGAAAGAGAGACAGGTGAGAGAAGGGAGAGGCAAGGCACCACTAATTGCTTCAGTCGTCAAAAGTGGACAGATTTTTAACATTTTTCTTTCACAATGGAATAGTATGCAGCCATAAAGAAAAACAAAATGATGAACTTCGCAGCAACTTGGATGGAATTAGAGTCCATAATACACAGTGATTGATCACAGAAACAAAGATCTGAGCACCACATGGACTCACTCATAAGCAGACCCTGAACATTTATCATAATATCATAAGAAAGGGATTGGCGGGAGTGGGACAGTGCTGGAGGGGTGTGTGTATGGGGGTACACATAACAGCAGTAAGGGTACCCACACTTTACCTGTACAATGACCATGAATGTGCCTAACCCTGAATTGTACCCCACATCTTTAAAATAAAAAATAAGGGGGAAAAGGTGGATAGATTTCTATCCCAAGAGCTTTCCCCTATTGGTCTAACTCTTATTTGGGATGTAAACACAAAAAAATTTTTGAGTAAAATTGTGAGTTGCCCTCTCTGAAATTGCTGGGGTTTTTTGTGAGTTGCTCTCTCTGAAATTGCTGAGTTTTTAATGATTTCAGCAGATCGCTTTACCAGTTACTAGACTGTGCCTTCTATTACAGCTGCTAGAAAGGTATACAAGCACAAGTTGCTGGACGGTGTACGGTCTCTCACAGGTAAGTAAGAAGCCAGGTGAAGCTGAGACTTCTTACACTTTACGTTTGCTTTTGAAAAACCACATGTACTTTGTTGATAACAAATTTATCAGTTACTTTTTATTACATATTTTTGTCTCATTTATTATTTTGAACAAAACTACTTTTGAATAAATGATTTTTTTTGCTCTATCACTGCATTTCAAATCCACTTTTTATGAGATTGGTCTACATTTATTTTTATTTTTGTTTGAAAGGAACAGGTGTTGAACTTCAAGGTTGCACCAGAAAACAAAGTGTTGGAAGAAAGACTGTGTCAGGATTTAAGAAAGACCATGTTAGCCGGGATCGGTGGCTCAGCCTGTAATCCCGCGCCTTTGGGAGGCTGAGGTGAGTGGATTGCCTGAGCCCGCGGGTTCAAGACCCGCCTGGGCAGCGAGACCTCATCTCTACAATAAATCAAAAATCAGCCAGGTGTAGTAGCACGCGCCTATAGTTCCAGCTACTTGGAAGACTGAGGCGGAAGGATTGCCGGAGCCCAGCAGGCGAGTCTACGGTGTCCGGGAGTGGCCACTGCACTCCAGTCTGGGGCGACCAAGTGAGACTCCAACTCAAGAGAAAAAAAAAAGGAAGAAAGACCATGTGAGCCAAACACAGGAAGAAACCAAACACAAACTTAACCACCTAGATCTTTTTTTAATGAAAAGTCTCAGATATGAACTTGACCTTGTTATCTATGCTAAATCTGATCAACAGAATGGTTAAGGATACTGGGGCTCATGGTAGTTTCACACAAATAATGTCAAGTATTTCTTGAGTGCCTGTGATCTTCAAGGTCTTAAAATTATTTTTATTTGAAAGTTTATCTGTTTTATTTCTCCCATGTAGAACATTCTGAAATGTTGGGGGGAAATGTAGGAAAAGTAATTTTTTACTTTGGTGAACAGGATGAAAAGTCACTCGTTCTTAGCAGGAGCTGTGGAAGTGAAATGTTTTAAGCAATTTTCGGTAGCAATGTTTGGATATAAAGGTTTCAAGCCTTTGATGAAAAAACATTAAGGAAATAGTGTTAAAGAAATGCCATGCAGCAAGCAGAAAGATCTCAAGACGATGGCTTTGATTTTTATTTTATTTATCATATCCGTTTTTAAAAAATACAATTGTAAAGGCGGTTTCTTGCCAGAATTCACCAGACTTGCCTGACTCTCCAGTTTCTGCCTTATGTGTGTCCCATGAGAGCTATAGTCAGGTCCTCTAGACAAAACTGAGGGACCAGGTTCCCATACAGTTCTTTTCACATAAACAGTTTTACTGTTTGATATTGTTTACCCTCTAGTTAATTCATGGACATTCCTGACATTTTTCACTTTAGCATTATTGTGTGCTTTTCTCATTCCTGTCCTCTGTCTTCTAAGGGGTGAAGTTCAGTGCTAATAAGCTAGCACCCTTCCTGGAAAAGATGGGCTTTGAGCTTGAGGAAGAGGAATACCGAGACCTAGAACACCACCTGCCGGTTGATGGTGAGCCGCTCTTGAAGGGGAACTTTGAAGTCATCTATGAGAATTTCTGAAACGTATCTGGAACGTATATTCCTCTTATTAGTTGAATAAGTCCAAATTATTCCTTTAAAATCTTTCTTCATTTCTAATGCAAGTGTTTATAACATAACGTTATGCAAAACATTAAGGGTTATCAGTTCTTGCAGTAGGCTTTATTGAGCACCTGGTATACAGGAACAGTTAGGGACACAAAAACTAAGATGACGGCTTTTCTGGCTTCAGGAGTTTATGGTTAGTAAGGAGTCTCATATGCAGACATGTCATCTTAATACTATGTGGCAGTGCTATAATACTGACTATAATAATGAAATCGTAGAGAGGCTTCTCAGAAGACATGTAGAAATTCTCCAGTTGGCCAGGCTCAGTGGCTCAGCCTATAATCCCAGCACTTTGGGAGGCTGAGGTGAGGGAATTGCCTGAGCCTGTGGGTTCGAGACCAGCCCGGGCAACATGGTGAGACCTCATCTCTACAATAAATCAAAAATTAGCTGGGTATAGTAGCATGTGCCTGTAGTTCTGGCTACTTGGATGGCTGAGGCGGAAGGATCGCTGGAGCCCAGCAGGTCGAGGCTGCCGTGGTCGGGAGCGGCCATTGCACTCCAGTCGGGGTGACAGAGTGAGACTCCAACTCAAAAAAAAAAAAAAAAGAAAGAAAAAGAAATTCTCCAGTAAAAAGGATGTTCCAGATGAGAAAAGCAATGTATACAAAAGCATAAATGCATACACAATCACAGAATGTTAGGAGAGTGGGATTGTGGGTAGAATGCACTCTGTATTATAAAATGGCAGGACAAAAGGCTAGAAAGGTGGGTTGCCAAGACCGGAGGGCTAGCTAGGTCAGCCGCCATCCTCTTGGGTCAGTTTTGGAAATTTGTGCCTTTCTAGACATGTGCCCATTTCATCTATGTTGTCTGAATTGTTGACATGAAGTTGTTTGTGGTAGTCCTTTATATTCCTTTGAATTTCTACAGAGTTAATGATGATGTCCTCTCTCCTAATTTTGATCTGAGTCTTTTTTCATTGAGTTTAGCTAAAGATTTGTCAATTTTGTTTATATTTTCAAAAAACTAACATCAATTTTCCTTATTGATTTGTTTCCCATTTTATTGATCTCAGCTCTAGTCTTTGTTATTTCCTTCTTCCAGCTTACTTGGGGTGTGGTTTGCTCTTCTTTTTCTAGATTCTTAACGTGAAAGTTTATATCATGAATGTAAAATCTTTCTTCACTTCTCAGACAAGTGTTTATAACTGTAAACTTTCCTCTAAGCATTGCTCTGGTTGCATTCCAAAATGTGTGTGATATGCTGTGTTTTTACTTTCATTCGGTTAAAAACACTTTCTAATTCCCCAGGTAATTTATTCTTGGTCCATGGGTTATTTAGAGATGTGTTGTTTAATTTCCAAATATTTATGGATGTCTCAAATTACCATCTGGTGTTGATTTTGAATTAATTAATGTGTGGTCACGAACAAACTTTTCTATGATTTCAGTTCTTTTAAACTGAATGAGTCTTATTTGAGGCCTAACATATGGTCTGTGCTGGCGAATGTTCCACAGGTGACAATACTGGCCATCACCTTGATCCTACTGGTTTTCTGTTTAGTTGTTCCATCCACTACTGAGCGTGAGGGACTGAAGACTCCATTGACAACACTGGAATTGTCTGTTTCTCACTTTTAGCCTTCACACTACAGGCAGTGGCATATTTAGAGCATTTCTCTCTTGGAAAATCAGTGTTGGTGGAAATATAGAGGGCCTTATTGGAAGCAAAGACTCAAACTTGAAAGATATTGATGGCCATGATCCAATAAGAGATAATGAGAGTCCAGGCAAAGAAAAGGAAATGAACGTAATGATGAATATGAGACTGATTAGTGAATGGCTTTAGAATTAACATGTGTTGATTGAAATGAATAGGGCTTGGTGACTAATTACATGTGAGTTATGAAAAAGTAGAAGAAGCCAGGCTGGGTGGCTCAACCTGTAATCCCGTGCTTTGGGAGACTGAGGTGGGTGGATTGCCTGAGCCCCCGGGTTCGAGACCCGCCTGGGCAACTTGGCGAGACCTCATCTCTACAATAAGTCAAAAAATCAACCAGGCTTGGTAGCGCATGCCCGTAGTTCCAGCTACTCGGAAGGCTGAGGTGGAAGGATCGCCAGAGCCCAGCAGATTGAGGCCACTGCATTCCAGTCTGGGAGACAGAGTGAGACTCCGACTCAAAAAGAAAAAGTAGAAGAATTTTAGGAAGGGACAACACGATGAGTAAGTCATCAGTTGTACAAGCCAAGACAAGACTTCAAGAAGAGGTTCAGGGGACAATGTCAAGAGAGTAGCTTCAGTGTTAGACAAGCTGAGTTTGAGATAGCAAAACACTGAGTTAGAAAGATGCATGAAGAGATGGTTGGACTCTTTGGAAAGCAGTGTGGCAATTTCTAAAAGAACTAGACAATGACCTTCCATATGACCCAGCAATCTCGTATTGGGAATATATCTGAGGAACTCAAATCATTCTTCAAAAAAGATACCTGCACATGCATGTTTATTGCAGGACTATTCACAATAGCAAAAACATGGAACTGCCGGACTCGGTGGCTCAACCTGTAATCCCGTGCTTTGGGAGGCCGAAGTGAGTGAATTGCCTGAGCCCATGGGTTCGAGACCTGCCTGGGCAACTTGGCGAGACCTCATCTCTACAATAAATCAAAAAAATTAGACGGGTGTGGTAGCGCGCGCCTGTAGTTCCAGCTACTTGGAAGGCTGAGGCGGAAGGATCGCCGGAGCCCAGCAGGTCGAGGCTGTGGTGGCCGGGAGCAGCCACTGCACTTCAGTCTGGGCGATAGAGTGAGACTCCAACTCAAAAAAATAAATAAACATGGAACCAACCGTGCTGCCTATTGAAACTGGATTGGATTTTTAAAATGTGGTGCATGTACATGATGGAATATTATGCAGCCATAAAGAAGGACAAACATATGGACTTAGAGTCTATCATAATCAGTGATCTATCACAGAAACAAAGAACTGAGTACCACATGTTCTCACTCATAAGCGACTCCTGAACATTTACCATAATACAATAAGAAAGGGATTGGCAATAGGATAAGGGAAGGAGGAGTAGAATACAATATCAGTAAGGTCACCTGATCTCAAACCAGGCAAAGTGGGGACCAAAAGGAGGCCCAAATGTCACCTGTACGATGACCACTTGTCTACCTAATCCTGAATTATACCCCACATCTTTAAAATTAAAAAAAAAGATGGTTGGAAATGAATACTCTAATAATTTATCTTATTTTTCTTAAACTAGGAGTTAGCAAAGCTTTAGGGGTATGTCAGAGCACTGATAAGATTATTAGCAGGCCAAAGGGAGAGGCAAAATAATAAATAAATGGAATATCTGATAGGGAAAGTTTGAAAGTAAACAAATAAAATAAGGAGGAAATAGTAGTAAGAGCAAGACAGAGAAGAAGAATTTACCTGGGGTAAACTGTGAACTGCCTGAAACAACAAGTGTAAAGTGGAGAGTATCAATAACTCCCCTTTATATCAATCACACCTGACATATGCTAGCATGCCTCATAATAGTGATACCTACAAGCATCCAGTCAGAAAAATTGCAAAATAATAGCCCTCTTGGGAAAAAATAGCAAAAACCTGGATTCTTCCCACTGGCTTCACTGCTTATATGGCATCATGGAAAGATGTTGGAATTTGGAATCAGCCAGACACAGATTTGAATCTCAGCTCTGAAAGTCTTGGGGTGTGCAAGATTGATCATATTCACCCCTCTGAATCTTACTTCCCTTCTGTTGAAAATAAAATAAAATAATAGGTACTTTCCACAATGTTGTGAGTTCTTAGCATAGGCCTTAACACCCAGTAAAAATTTAATAGTAGCTTTTTTTTTTAAGTTGGAGTCTCACTCTGTTGCCCAGGTTAGAGTGCAGTGGTACACTCACAGTCACTGCATCCTTGACCTCCTGTGCTCAGGCAGTCTTTCCACCTCAGCCTTCCAAGTAGCTGGAACTACAGGCACCCATCATCATACCTGGCTAATTTTTTTTTATTTTTTAGCGACAAAGTCTCTCCATGTTGCCCAGGCTGATCTCGAACCCCTAATCTAAAGCAATCTTCTCGCCTTCACCTCCCAAAGTAGTGGATTACTGGCATGAGCCACCGCACCCGACCAGTAGTTGTTATTATTACTATTCATTAGTAGTAATAATAACAATCAGTATGTACTTATCTCAATGAATAAATGCACTAATCTCAATGCTTGGTTATGGCTTTGCTCTGGTCAGAAGAAAGTAAATTTTTCATAGAATAGTTTTTATTACTGGAAATACATACTTTGCCAGCATTCTTGATCTACCAAGAAAGGATTGAGATGTTTTTTTCTTATCTCATTTTCCGAGTATCTTGAAACTTTACTGGAATGCCACAATGATCTTAGTTGTGGAACTGTCAGCCATCTCCTTGAGTGCTACTTTTCAAGTTAATGAGCCCATGGGAAACAGCATTAGAGACCTAGTTAGGCTATTTAAGAGTCTCTGTGGTGACTGGGCATAGTGGCTCACGCCTATAATCCCAGCATTTTGGAAGACCAAAGTGAGAGGATTGCCTGAGCCCACAGGCTAGATCCTGGGCATCTTGGCAAGACCTCATCTCTACAATAAATCAAAAAATTAGCCAGGTATATTGGTGCACGCCTGTAGTTCCAGTTGCTTGGAAGGCTGAGACAGGAGGATCACCTGAGCCCAGCAGGTCGAGGCTGCAGTGGCTGTGAGCGTGCCACAGGCTGGACGACAGAGAGAAACTCTGACTCAAAAAAAAAAAAGTCTCTGTGGACCTAACTAAAATACTGAGAGTGGATAAGACATCTTTCTGAGAGGCGCTGACCACCTATCAGGCTGTCCCCTAAAGTACCCAATCTAAGAGACAGTATATCTATGTAACAAA